TTTTAGAGACCGAGTGCCCAAAACTGGTCCCGCCACCACTCCACCCCATGCCCTACCCCTGCCCCTGCCCTGCTCCCGCCCCCTACCTTGTCCTCCACCCCACCTGACCACAGGGTCACTAACTGCCTCCAGGGCCCACCACAGATTGCCCAGGCAGCCCAGCAGTGCTATGGTGGCCATGCCCTCTGCCCGTACCCCGGAGCATCAACTGTACGGGATGGGCATGAGGGAAGAGTCTTGTCTATGCTCCTTGGCTGCCCTGCTCCATGTGGGCCACGCTCAGGGGTGACTCTCCTCCAGGGGTGCTGCTGGTGAGGAGAGGGTTGTGGGGGGAGGCGAGGCTGGGGTAATGGCATGTGTGCCCACAGAGAGGGCTCCAAGTGCCGCTTCTGGCACGCATGCCATAGGTTTGCCACCATTGGCCTAAATGGTCGGTTCCAACTCTATGTTATATTATATCATCTATTGTGGAAACAGTCAGATACTGGAGCCAAAACTAATTATTATTCCCAACTTGCATCCTCTGGTATCTTTCAGCTGTGATCAAAAGATCAAATACAAACTATTATCTATAATTATCTATAATGTAAAAATTAAACAAAATAAAAGTTTTGAAAAAACTCTTGTAACAGTTTATAAAAATTCTCTTCAGGATTATAATTCAGTGTAAATTTCAACCCTTTCTTCCACATAATCTCCCACTGGTTCATCTTATATAAACTGTATATTACATAGCAAGTTTGGTCTAGTGGTGAAGGTACCAGGCTAGAAAGCAGGAGACCATGAGTTCTAGTCCCGCCTTAGTCATGTAAACCAATTGGGTGACCTTGGGTCAGTCACTCTCTCTCTCAGCCCAACTCACCTCACAGGGTTGTTGTTGTGGGGAAAATAGGGGGAAGAAGATAGACATGCCTGCCACCTTGAGTTAGTTGTAAAAATAAAGCTGGGATACAAATAAATATCTTTTTTTGTTATTCATTTTATCATACAAGCTTTAAACGGCCAGGCTACCTATGGAACTGCCCCATCACATCAGCCCCTCCCACTTAATCAGGCATGGAAGGTATGCTGCAGACCCTATCAAAGAATTTCAAGTGGGGGGGGGTTCTAGGAAAAGAGCCTCCTCTGCCTCTGCCTCTGCCCCCGTATTATGGAACATCGTTCTCCCAGACTTGAAATGGGCCTTCCTGGCCTTCCACAAAGGGGTCAAGACTTGACTCTGTGGCCTATGGAGAAGGGCACAGGACATCCCACAACTGTGGGGCTGGCTGGCCCCATGAGACCCTCCCTCCCACACTTATATTAATTAATGCTAAATGCCCATCTTGGATTTTTGTTCTTTTTGAAGTTTTATGTCACAATTTTATAATTAAAATAATGTTAAATTATATGTTGTTTATGTACTGATATTGTACCCCCTCCAGAGCCCCTCTCTGAGGGACCTGGGTGCTTTAAAAATAGGAAATATAAATAAAATGAACTTGTTCATCTTTCCATTTTCAATAAACATTTATGCATCTTAGCAAGAATATGATCAACATTTGTAGAACTCTACATCAAGTTAAGTTTTATCCTTTTCAAATTGGTAATTCTTCTTATCTAACTTGAATCTTTTCATTAGCTGAACATAAGGAAAGCCATGATATGTACAATCTTCCAACTCCAAGCTTTCTCTTGTTTTTAAGTTAAACTCTCCTTGAGAAAAATTCAGCAAGTCAACATAAGTTAACCATTTTAGCCTCTGCTTGTAAATAATAAACAGACATTAATTTTGGCAACACAAAGGTGGAGTTGGGTAAAATGATGTTCTGAGGCCCTCTCCTTAAGCTTTCTCCCTCTTGATTTTGATTTATTTTTCATTACCTCCCCTTTCACTGCTTCTTCCTCCACTTCTGCTCCAAATGACTGTGTGCTCTGCCTTCCCAATCAAAATAACACCTAATCAGTAACTCATTCCCTTGCCTTCTGTCTGCTTGAAAGTACAACACATCAGTGTGATGCCAGCTGATCCTAATCAAAAAGCTTCCTGCTCTCTTCAGCTGAAGCCCATTGTCATTATATCCCTTCTCTGGAAGACTTTCATTTCCTGTATTATCTCCCCAGGTGTCTTATGAGAAGGTTTGAGCAGTTCTCATGGATAGACAGTATGAGACCTGAGCAAGGCAAGGTAGCAGAATCAAATATTAAAAAACCCCAGGGAAGAATCAGTGTAATGCATGATTGCTTCCCTCAGCAATGATGACGCAGATTCTTTCTGGTGGATGATGCTGTTGCATAGAATTGCTATGAATGGCAATGCAAATACTTCCCAACCCTTTAGACCTTGAAGGAGAACGAAGCCACAAGCATCCTGACATAAATGATACAAATTAAGTCATTTTATTGACACAGATTATATACACTAAATCATTTGAGCAATGACATCATGACAGGTCTGACATCACTCACTTTCCATGGATGTTTGCCCTTGCTGATATTTTCTTCCATGCTGAGCTGAAGAGAGAGAATTGGGAAGTAACAAATACCTTTCAAAAACCTATTTCTTTACAAAGATAATTCTTATTTTCTGGTGATGAAAGGAATCTGATCTAATGACTCTAATGTAAATCAGTTTTAGGTAACACCCCAACCTGGACCAGTTGAAAAGGGTTTTTGGAAAGTAGAGGAAAACTGAGGCTAAAAATATGCTGGCACATGAAGATTTATTGTCATTTTCCTCACCCTCTCTTGTCCTGTACAGGGCTCATCTCCCATTGCACGTAGTGCTTTAATCACATTTTCTGGTTTACCCCTTCAGCTTAAAATGGCTGCCATTTTGTCTTTACAGAAACCAGGATTTATTCACGTTACAAGTCTTGATTTTCGGAATCCCAAAAATAGCAGCTGGTTCAGGTTCAGCCAGAGAAATAAATCACAAAGTTTGCATAAAAAGCCACCTGTGATGAGGGATTTAATTATGATGCACATGTCTGTTGCAAAACTGCCAAAGTTGAAAAGATAACAAGGCTCTGTGTAATAAGCCACCCTCAATGTAAGCTCAGTCTTTTGCAGGTTGCTTCAGCAATTACATGATAAAAACAAACTCTAGTCTGAATTAAAAACATAATCTTGTTAGAAGGAATAACATCTGTCTTGCTTTGTTTGCAGGCCCCAGGAGGTTAATTTGCTTGATTCTCTTCAGTAATAGAAACAATGTGCATTTGAAGAGGTATCTGCAAAATGAGACATTAGTAACGAAGCTAGCAACTAGAAGGGATCGGTCAAAACATGACAGGTTCAAAGTTTCTATGTGTAAGTTACTTGTATTTTCCAGTATGGAATGGCAAAAACAAATGAAGTTTGATTTTAAGACTACCTCTCAGGAGCGTTGTGCACTTTGACATGACTCTCCTGTTTTTCAGTCTGAATCTTTGTCACATTATACAAAGTATATAATCCCTGTAACCCAAGAAACATCCCATGAGAACAGTCCAAGGAACAACCTAGGTTTATTTATTTTATCCTACTAACAGCCATTTCTGCAGGTGCAAATTGACCTATTACAAAGGCAGGAAAACCCATGGAATATTATTTCCATATGCTCAGTGACAAATGCTGATGTTCTCAGTAACATCAACAGTAGCTGATACTGTGACACACACAGAGCAAATGAAAGGGTCATATATCATGGAGCTTTCACTGCTGTTTTTTTTTTTAAACTATGCATTCTAACCTTATATCACGTCAGCAGTTATACCTAGGGCAAAAGGCAAATGGAGGAGAGGAGGTGGAAACTAACCACACAACTTCCTTAAACAGGAAAGCCTCTTTGACTTGATAAGACAATTGGCATTCTTGAAACAAAACTGTGTCCCTGAACTTTTGAAAAATGTTATTCAGCAGGAACAAGGCTCCTAAATTCACCTCATCAGACAACTATTCAGTCTGTTATGCATAAAATATCTGTATGCATTATCTGCTCATGAGCACAGATACTAGTGAGGTTAATGGGTCACCCAGAATAGCTCTGCTTCCTTTTTGTGTATGTAAGAGAGAGTAAGGCAGTGGAGCGACTGATTGAAAAGAAATTCACAAAAACCAGGGGCTGTAAAGAAGAGAATTAAATTAGCCAAACCAAGATTTTAAAAGTTCAGAAGAAAAAAAAAAGCCATTTCATCAGCTGTATTGAGATTGTTTGAAAACCTTGCTCACCTGACCTCCACCTTGCGTGTTACTCCAAGTGTATTTTTTTTTTAATCATTCATCCATAGTAATTAGGGGACAATTCATCACTGTAATCCACCTTTCTGTGGTATGAACAATAGAATGTATGGGAAATGAACCGGTTTGTATCCAGAGATAAGCAGTCATTTATATTATTCTTTTGATGCATACCTGCTGGCTATTATTAAGATTTGTACATATGTAATTCTGATCACAGGAGGTATTAAATGGAATAAACCCAATTCTAATCTGTGAAGCATCTCTCTGGATGATTCCTTGAATATGTGAAGTCACAGATCAAACACCAAAGACAGAATTTAATACAGTTAGTTAGCAATCTCAATCCTCTCAGGGTAAAATTCATGGAACTTAATTAAATTTGCTTCTGGGTCCATTATGGTATAAGTATATTTTAGATCATTTTGAATTAAGTGCAGGAACAACTCAGTTTCCAGTCTGAGTTATTTGGCATAGATCAACAGCTAATTTGTATATACCCTTCATTGTTGTTGTTGTTTTCTTAGAGAACATCGCTAAGACTTGAAATCAAGTTAGTAACAGGGAAATAACATTTTTTAGTGAACTATGGAAAATTCACTTGTGCTTGTTGGGTATATTTTCTGAGGACTTGTAATGGTAATACCTTGGCTCAGGGCTTTTTTTCTCATAGAACACCCAGGATGGAGTTCTGGCACCTTTTTGGGATGGAACCTTGTAGGGTAGGCAAGGCGGATTGTATGACGTTTGTGAGTTCCAACATCTTTTTTTTTTTTAAAGAAAAAAAGCACTGCCTTGGCTTCAGTATTAATCATGGCTCTTAAGGACAAATCTGGACTGCCCAAATGAGCAGGTCTCTTGCTTTCCTATCCTGGACAGCCCAGATCTTTCAGTAAGTCTAGCTGACCTAGACAGCCAATAAAATAGACCAAGCAGGCTACAGCAAGCTTTAATTTCTTATGAAATTATGAAAATGATGTCCTTTCCACAGAAGGGAGATCCAGAACGAGACAGTGTTTATGTAACTTTCCACCAATCTGTTTTGAACACGTAACTGTCCACTCTATCCCCTTCTCATCCATATAAAGATTAAAAACATGCTACTTCTTCATCCTGCTTAACAAGGTAAACCAAAAATGTCTGTACATTTCTTATTAACATGCTTCCAGTCATCAATACATCTTTATTTAACTACCGATAATGGTATTTTCTCTTTCCTTTAGCTGAGGAAGCTAAAGGTTCAGCATAGTTTTAAATGTTTACTGTTTTGTTCTTTGCATTCCACTCATCCCTTATAGGTCCAGTCACCTAATGAATGGATTATGTTTATTAAATTAATCAGAACTCTCCGCAAGCTGGTTAGTACATTCTCACTTCTATTCCTCTGGTCCCATTCTGGAGTCCAAACACTGCCCTGAAACCAGAAAGTAATAATTAAAATGATAATATCACCAGTAAATGTTACAAAGCACTTGAATGAGTTTTTTTAAAGGACACTATACAAAATCTATATTAAATTAAATAGTATATGGAACAAAATCACATATAGTTTGGCTTCATGTCTATTTAATTATTCAGATTGGACTGAATATTGATAACTCAGTTCATGTAATAAAATTTGGGTGGAATACAATTGATTTTTACTTTTCTTGGATGTTAAATGAGATTGTTTTCAATCATCACCCCAGAACATTGCTTGCAGTGTGTTATTGGATTTTTGGTTCCTGTTTTCTTCACATTCTGATAAAAAAGCCGGAAGCTGAAAATATAGATGAATCCCTATTATGGCCTCAACATTCACCTTGTGCTGCTTCTCAAGTTTTGCACAAGATAAACATTTCTCCCTTTTCATTCAAGTCTGGTAATTACTTTGTTAGATCAAAGACAAAGCCCATCAATTAGATAAGAAAATTAATACTTTGTTGCCAAAAAAAGGCCACACAACAGATAACTAGTTGCTTCTGAGAGATTGTAAGCATAATGGATATGGCAAAACTGTGACTCTTGCATATAACTCCTAGCATCTTTGGCCAATAATGTTGGTGGCAACAGTGGGAGTTGTAATTCACCAACAACTAGAGGGTGACAGACTTCCCAGAGGGGATAATAATGGCCATCATCTATGGTATATATTTCCAGGCATTTGAGATAAATATAAAAATATATTTAGCAAACAAACCAGAGAGCCATTAATAGAATATCTTTTATAAATTTATCTAATTCCCTCAGTCTCTGTTCATGAGATTCTTGCAAATGCAAAGCTGTAGATCATACCTAGGACACTTAGACTGGAGTTATCATTAAATAGGATAATAAATCCTTTCAAATTTCACTGTGTTATCAATATGAGTGGGCAAGAAAGAAGGTAGAAGTAATCATTTAGTCATAACAAAAGCTTCTAAATGTAATAACAGAATAAATTGGGCAGAAATCTACAGCATGTATTAAATTTCATACATTGGAAGGGGGAATTACACTTGGCAATTTCTCTTTAAAGAATACATAGTAAAACAAAAAGATTTGAAGGACATTCAGAGTTTTGTAGAGAGCTTGATATAAATATTTAAACCTTGAATTACCTTTCTTCCCCTTACACTTCACTGAAAGCAAATAAACCATATTATGGCTTGAGCTATGTGCGAACCAGGCAATAACTCTCTCTAACATATATGAATGGGTAAAATAAATGATAGGAGCAGAAGAAATCATGGTTAATGATGGATGCAAACTGCTGGAAAAAAACATGTAAAAAGTTAGAAATAGGGAGACAGGCAACATAGAATGACTATTTTTGAATAATCACAACACCCTGAAACTGCAACCTGCATTTAAGACATTGTTGGATTTGAGATCCTCCTCCTGTATATATACTAATACTAAGGATATGCAAAGCATACAAAAAAGATGTTTAGCAAAGAATGTGATCAAAGCACTACTCCCAAAATGTTAAAGCATTTTTGTGTAAAGCACACAAATATAAACAACCTCTGAAATAGCTCCCGGGGCCTTTTAAAAGACATGACTTTGTCAACACTTTGAAAAGATGTGCTTTGCTTAAGCTAACATGCTTTGTACATTTCCACGTTCAAATGCTTTGTACCTCCCATTAAGTACCTGAGTATGTTAGACTACATGACATTGTCATAATAGAACAGAGAGCGAGGGATGGAAATAGAGATCCTCCAGGGGTCTACTATGCCCTGCTACAAAAATCTACATTTTTCAATATTTCTAGGATCTCAGTCTTTTTAATTTGCCATAACTATAATCATATTCTAGTTATCTACCTATTTTAGGTCCAAAAATTATTTTTTTGTGGGCATCTGGATGAGGTTCTATGGCAGACTCAGTATCTCTGAAGGAATGAAAATGCCACTGCATCCAGCAAAGCCTTTCCTGATGAAGGAAATATGGAGAGTTTGTCCACCTGCATCACAGATTGCTACTTTTTGTTAGGAGATCACAGGATTGATGTTTTGTGGTGTTTTTTTTTTTCCTTGAGTAGAAAGGCAGGGGATCAAAGAGAAAGAGCTTGCTTGCACGTGCAAGTGTAGCCTTTTATAGGATACTGAGTCCTACCAAATCTTCACTCTCTTAATCACTTTTGGATATAATCAATTTACAATTGAAAAGAGGTCTTTTAAAAAAACAGAGGGACCAAGAAAACAGCTCTTTCCCTTTAATGATTTAATTGTATCAGTCTCCATTCCAGCCAAATATTTTTCACTTTAAAAAAAACCACCATACTACAATAAGAATAAGTGCAAACATTCTATCAACTGTTCAGGTAACTTTCAATACTTTGTATTGCTTCTGTTACTATTAAAACTCGTGGATCTTTATCATCTTTTCTGTTCAGCATTGAAGCCTAAGAAAGATTCTTAAGAAAATGGCAAAGGAAAATAAATAGGATATCCCACAAACAACCAATGACAATTTAAAAAATATTGGTTTTATTTGGTCCCCAAAGGTTAAATTCTCAACAGGATGAAGAAATCTTTACAAGCATCTGTACACAGAACTGTGTACCCTGATTTGGAAATTGGTTTCCTTGTATGCATCCTGCCACAAATCTATCAGTTAGGTACTTTCTCTTAATTGCTTCATATTTGGGCAATTATACTAATATTGATTCCTCTACAGAGCTGTTAAAAGGATTGGCCTTGCTTATTGGGAATCTTGTTGTTTTTCATCTATGTAGGTTGGCAGTTCAACACCCAAAGTACTGTGTGATGGGGTGAGCTCCCGTTCCTGCTTTAGCTCCTGCCAACCTAAAACTTCCAAAGCATAAACTGCAAGTAAATAAATAAGTACCACTTCGGTAGGAAGATAAGAGTGTTCCATGCACCTTGGAATATAGTCATGCTGGCCACATGAAGCATCTTTGGACAACACTGGCTCCCTCAGCTTGGAAACATAGATGAGTACCACCCCTAGAGTCAGATACAACTGGACAGGGGAAACGTTTACCTTTTAAAAAAAATGTCTGGTGGGCACCAAAATACAGACGGCTGACTTAATGGGTATGCCTTTTACCACATAATCTAGAAAGATAGATGCTGTAATGCCCAACTAATAGAATCTCATCCCCCCCCCCCAACCCTGAAGTTTCTGAACTACAACTCACTGCACTCCCTTTCATTTTCCATTTCAGCAACATCATAATGCAAGAATTATGCAGTCGCAAAGCTTATCAAAGCTCACTAATAATGCCAGTGACACATGAATGAAAATAGTGCTTTATTTATTGATTTGTAGATTATTTTGTTCCAATTCCTCCCCTTTGTTAGATTGGTAATTCTATGTCCTACAGTGTGACAGATAAACAAGATAATGTTAAGCAGAACTGATTAAGTGTTTAAATAAAGGAACATTAATGAGTCAAAGTGTTGACATTTTGAAAAGAAAAGTGAAAATACACGGCATAATATGTAGGAAACTAAAAACACAAATTGTTTCCAATGGCATCTTTTTACTGACAAAACAACATCTGCCAGCAGACTATATTTCTCTGTCTCCTGTGTACCTGCTCCGGGAGAAGACATGACACTTGGGGGGGGGGTGGACTTAGGAGGGGTGTCAAATGTTGAAGCAGGGAAAATAATGGGAAAGCTCCTTTAACAAGTAGAAATCTGGTCACATAATGCTGGTTGTAGCCCACTCTTATCTGTCTGTAAGCTCTGTGAGGACAAGACTCTAAAATGGAAGAACATGAAGTGGAACCTCAAAATACTTTGTTTTTATCTTCTAACATATCCCATTGTTATGTTATTCTTCCATCTGGGAAATGCTATAAAAGATGAAACCTAGCAGGTTTTACATACCTCACAGTTCTCCTTGGCTGTTGTCAACTTAAGGGAAAAAACATTACAGAATATTCAATTGTGGAAAAAAAATTCTCACAGCAGCTCCAGATGTCATAGATGAAAAGGAAACAGGTTGCCTACTGTTTTGCTATGTCTCAGAGGAAAGCTGTTAAGTAGGACTGCTTGGAAATGTGCAACTTCTTCTGGGGAAAAGAAAAGAGACAACATTTTATTTCATGATTCATCCAAGAAATGCAGTGTATATCTTGCTCAAGCTAAGCAAATCTGGATCAGATCACATAGATCTCCCTCATATATTGCCTTGATAGAAAAAGAGAAGGAAGCACTCACCGATGTACCCCCCCATGCTATTCCTTTTAGGCTAAAAGCATTGTACAAAGCACAGGGAAAAAGTAAGTATAAGGTGTGTGTGTGTGTGTGTGTGTGTGTGTGTATACACATACCCACACACACACACATATACAGACTGACAGAGACACAGACACACAAACACATACACACATATATAGTAATTGTATATTAAAATACAAGGAAAGGAACCCAAAATTTAGTTTACACTATTACATCTAATTTAAACTTTCATCTCTCTCTTTTTGAGGACCTCTTCAGAATAAGAAATGACTTGAAATACATACATGGATGCATGCTATTCCATTTGCTTTATTATTTTATTCATTTTTTTTGCGGCCTTTATTATTTTAATGTAACTCAAGGCGATGAATTTTATTTATCTTTCTCCTATTTTCCCCATAACAACAACCCTGTAAATTGTAGTAATGAGGTAGAAGTCTCTGTTTCACACCTCAAAGAAAGCCATTGTTAAACAAGGAGGAAGTAGCAGAAACTTTCAAAACCAGGAAACAAGCAAGCCTATAGCCATGATGTGAAAAGGCAGAAACATGAGGTCCATGATTAAATTTGGGGACTAAAATATATAGAAGGTAGGATCCTGGGAACATTAAGCTGTAGAATTGCTTTATATATGATGACTAATTCAACAGGTATAATAAATGTACTTATCCCTCCTCACTGGGTGTGTAGAGCAGCGAAAGAATCTAATTGCCATAGGGGATATGATGCCTTGATATCATAACAGCTACTGTATATAAAAATAAGCTCACTAGGGATTCAACTTGATCAAATGTAAAAGAGCAGATATGGTCTTTCATTGCTATTTTCTTGAAGTACCTTTCCATTATTGTGGCTGGCAATACTAAGCTGGCAAATGTGCCAACAACAATGCTCTCCTTATCCCTAAGGTGCTTTTTCTAAAAGGCAACTGGACTTTCTTGGTTTTTTTCTTTGAAACATTTCACTTCTCATCCAAGAAGCTTCTTCTTCTGAAGAACTGAAGAAGCTTGTTAGATGAGAAGCAAAATATTTTGTTTTTTTTTTTAAAAAAAACCCAAGAAAGTCCAGTTGTCTTTTGGAAAGTGCATCTTTGGAACAACCATGACGTGGATGACTGAGAATTTCCATAGACAGTGCTCTCCTTAATTTCTAGGACTCCAGAGGATTAAGATGAGAAGATGGAGCTAGATGTAGGCCCGGGTTTTAAAGTATGGAGAGGGACAGGCAGAATTATGAAAGTGAAGGTCACAGAATGAGTTAGCAGAATCTCTGAGAGCAGTGTGAATTGAAAAGAAAGAGAACTAAGGGAACAGTTTTTGAGAAGGAGTAAGCTGGAACTTCTGAAAGAAAGTTGTAGCAATAGTCACAAAAAAGAAATGGGCTGCTTTACACAGTGTAGGCTAGAAAGAAATGTGAAAAAGCATGCTACAGACACATTTTCTTTTCTTTTTTCTTTTCATTGTCACTCAGACAATTGCTTTTAATTTAAAATAAATCCTTTGCAAATAGAATTGTTAATTTCCCACTTTAAACTTACATTTGATTTAATTACTAAAGACTGGTATAAAAATCTTGCTAGTTACCAAGGCAATTAAAGAGGGGCTGGAATGTATATTTTAATCTGAGGGGAAAATATTTTGTAAATCATTTATCCTCCTGATGGGAGTAATAAGAGAAAAAGAGTTCAAAGAAATGGCTCAGCACTCAAACTGCCTCACAACAGAGGCAAAAAAAAAAAAAAAAAAAATGACGGATAATGGTAGCATTCCCATGTTAGCATTTCCAACACCAAGGTAAAATTTCATTTGACTAGGATTTTTTTTAAAAAAAAAAAATTTCAGAACCATGCATATTTTTGTCATGGAACATTTGAATTATATTTATTTCCTATCTGCAGGTGACTAAACTGGTGATTGTGACATGATAAGAGAAGATCTGCTGCAGGGAAACAAAGTAAAATAATAGAAATAAAACTGAGGATTGCAGCTGAACCAACAGTGGGAATATATATAAATAAGCTTCATTTTAATTAATCGTCACTCACATTCCATTGCTTTGTAATAGTGTTCTGTCCATTTGACTATTTATTATATGATATGTATCTATCAGGAAATAATATGTATTGGAATAGTACAGATACTGAAGCTTAAGTGCTGTCATTGCCTTCAGCAGATAACATAAAACAAAGAAATACAGAAAAATTCTACACATATCTGAATGTATAGGACATCTGTATAGCTAGAATTTATTGCCTGTTTAAATCACAATAGCTGAGGAGGGTGGCATAGGAACCATATACAGGATTTCCCCAATTAAAACTTGATATGGCTAATCCACGAAGAACTGATCATTAATTTTCATTATAAACTAACCCCTACTGGCCAGATGCAAAATTAAAACATGATCCTGAACTTTGAGCTGTTTACTGAGATGTAGTTTGTCAATTATTTGAATTCGGGAACCTCTATTCTATGAAGACAACTGGCTTGCATGGTCTTAATTTGGTATAAATCCTTATGAATAAATCTGTTCTGCATTACAACTCTCTGTCTCACCAGCTGTTTCTTTTTGCTTATCTGTAACCCATGCATGCTATCTCCCTGTACTAATGATGGCCATATTCTAGCCTCCAAGGCATCCTTTGATCATAACTGGACTCCTCTGAAAAAAAATTTTTTGACATACTTTGAACTCCGTAATGTGTTTTTTTTAACTCTTTCTATTTTATTTAAAAAAAGTTAAAATACAAAACTCCAACACATTTAAAACAAAAAACCCACACAAAACAAATATTGGAAAAAAGATGCATTAAAAAAGAAAAAAAATATACACATATTATCCCTCTCCATCAGTTGAATGCTGATTAATACGTTACTACAATCTTAGTTTCCTATCCTTTGAGAACAAAACCAGTCTTTCTTTGTTACTGTTAAATGAAACATCAGCCTTCTCTAGCATAACACCCTATAAATATATGTTTGTATGCATGTATGTATTCAATTTCTATAACTACCCAACTCAACCAAGTAACTCTGGGTGGCTTACAATTCTAAAATAAAACAATAATAGAAAACATTAAAACAATAATGCTTTGGTACAATACCTTGGTATATCACCTTGGTAAAGCCACACTTGGAATACTACATCCAGTAGATGCACTAGAAAGAGTGCAGAGAAGAGCAAGAAAAATGATTAGGGGACTGGAGGCTAAAACATATAAAGAACGGTTGTTGGAATTGGGTATGTCTAGTTTAATGAGAGAAGGACTAGGGGTGACATGATAGCAGTGTTCCAATATCTCAGGGGTTGCCATAAAGAAGAGGGAGTCAAGCTATTCTCCAAAGCACCTGAAGGCAGGACAAGAAGCAACAGATGGAAACTAATCAAGGAGAGAAGCAACCTAGAATTAAGGAGAGATTTCCTGACAGTTAGAACAATTAATCAATGGAACAACCTGCCTCCAGAAGTTGTGAATGCTCAAACACTGGAAGTTTTTAAGAAGAGACTGGACAACCATTTGTCTGAAATGGTATAGAGTTTCCTGCCTAAGCAGGGGGTTGAACTAGAAGATCTCAAATATCTCTTCCAACTCTGTTATTCTATTCTATTCTATTCTATTCTGTTCTGTTCTGTTCTGTTCTGTTCTGTTCTGTTCTAAGCTACCACAAAATAAATAAATGCAAACAGGTGCTGGGATGATTACATTATATTATAATAAATTATGAGTAATACCATCACAGTGGCCATGAAGGCTAGCGATAAAGGTACCATATTAGACAAGATTAATAAAAAAGAAAGAAATTAACCAACCTTACAGAAGGTTGGTTTACTAAGAATAAAGGAGAAATACACAGATAAGATCACTTATACTTGATTTCTTCAGTATTGCACATTTATTATATTTATATTTTTTTATTTTTCAAAAAAAGTTAAGAAAAACACTCATAATTGTCATGTATGGTTTTCAGATCCACAGAGTTTTGCATAAGACTTCTCCAGATATTTGTGCAGAACTAGTGGGTTTTTTTTCTTTCTCAACATTTAACTATCCCTAGTGTATTTATTTTTGTGCACAGCTTTCCTGTATATACACTTTTTAAACATATTCTTAATTCTATGGTTAGTTAAGTGGAAAGTGACAGGTGTTAGTTGACTCCACTGGCACCCATCCATGCTACAAGAGAGTCTGTGTTAGAAGTTTGCATCATTTCACTCCTACTGAAATTCATGATGGATGTAGTTTACACCCTTAGGATATATTTCCATTTTCAGGAAAGGAATGTACACAGAAGTAAAACTGAACAAAATAGAGAGAAAAGGTGACTGAACTTTTCAGAATCCTCCTGGGGGCTGGTGATAAATGCATATTAGTTGCTTCATTTGTCTAAGATGGACAGCTCAAAGTGTAGCACAGCAGTTTTATGGTGAAAAAGAAAGAAGAACCAAGAAAATGAGCTAGTTTAGCATTACGGAAAGAAGCTCAATCTAACTTTAGCATATTTTCTCACTGCAGCACGAAAGAGGAAGTTTCAAAGGTCACAGGCAATATTAGAAACTATAAGAAGCCTTTGTCCATTCAATAATATCACACTATTTACAGTATTAGTAAGCAGTAGAAATCTGATATTACACCAAGTATATTTAAAAGGATTTTTTTTTAAATCATCAAATATAGACTTAAATAAATCACCCCCCGCCTGTGACTCCATGAATTAAAAAGCTCCCTTTGCATCAGATATTGAGTTTTCTGATGTAAAGCAAAATGTTGGGAGGAAAACCAAGAAAAAAGGTTGATGGAAGTTCTCAAAAGACCATATTCCAGTGGTTCTCAACCTGTGGGTCGGGACCCCATTTGGGGTTGAATGACCATTTCACGGGGGTCGCCAAACAATGCAGTCCGCCATTTTTTCCACTTTTCCTTAGCTGTGCTACTCCCTTTTATTCTATTGGCTTTTGAAAGCCAATAGAATAGACTCTCTTGAATAGAGTCTAATTCTATTTGCTTTCAAAAGCCAATAGGAATTGTCCAGGCTGTCTCTGCCCTGCTGAGCCCGCCAAAAGTCCCATTCTGCAAACGGTGCTGCACCAGTTGAGTAGTCCTCAACTTACGATTGGTTGAGTAGTCCTTGACTTATGACCGGTTGGGGGTTGCGGCATTAAAAAGGTTGAGAACCACTGCCGTATTCTAAAACGGAACCTCAGGGAGCTGAGATGGCATATAAATGGAACACTCTTTTAAAGAACTTTTGTATGAGTGCTCTATTCCAAAGTTTCTTTTTGTCCTTTTATTGTCTGCGCTACCAGTTCCTCACTAACTCTGCTTATATTTTTTTGGGATGAGGGAGTGCTTTTATTCAAAAACACAGTATAAATTAATCCAAACAGCTGAAGTGAAACATGATCTAAAATAATTTTTGGCTTGTCCACAGCAGTGGATATAGCTGGTTTGCTTTGTTGAAGATGCAATAGTCAATTAAAACAGAGCAATCATGATAATAAATATTGATAAATTGGAAAGGTCAGGATGAAGAAAGGAGAGACCAAACCTAAATATAATTTATATTTAAATTTACTACTTGAATATACATTAAATTTAATTAAAAGGATTACAATAATAATTACAATTTGGTGACAGTATTTGGAGGATACCTGGAGGTTACAGCCAGGGCCAGAGTCCTATGAGGTATACTTTTGTTTCAAATGGTTTTTGCATAAAAAAATAGCATGCTATTTTCATATGAATAGGGAATGGACTTTAAGAATATGAGAGGGAAGGGAACGGTGGCCTTAAGCTTTCCTGCAAAAATGCTTTTGATCCTTTAAGCATTCTACTTGGATTACTGAAACTCTTCAACAGTTGCTTGAGGAAATTGCTCCCCAACTCTCTCTCTCTCTCTCTCTCTCTCTCTCTCTCTCTCTCTCTGTGTGTGTGTGTGTGTGTGTGTGTGTGTGTGCGTGTGACATGAGAAAGCAGAATAAGTAACAGATCACTCGGACACATCTTAGACGAATAACAGAATAACAGTTGAAAGGGAACTTGGAGGTCTCCTAGTTCAAATCCCTATTCAAGCAAGAAACCCTATATAATTTCAGACAAATGGCTGTCCAATCTCTTCTTTAAAACCTCTGGGGCAACCATTCCACTGATTAATTGTTCTCACTCAGGAAATTTCTCCTTAATTCTTGGCTGGATCTCAACTTATAAGTTTCCATTTGCTACTTCTTGTCCTATGTTCAAATGCTCTGGAGAATAGGTTAACCCCCTCTTCTTTGTAACAGCTCCTTTGATATCGTAAGACTGCTACCAGTATCATGTCATCCCTAATCCTTCTCATTGTTAGACTAGAAATACCCAGTTCTTGCAAGCATTCTTCATATGTTTCAGCTTCCAGCCCCTGGATCATCTTTGTTGCTCTTCTCTGGATCTTTCTAGAGTCTTTTTTTTTTGTATTGTGGTGACCAAAACTGGATGCACTATTCCAAGTGTGGCTTCACTAAAGCATTATAAAGTGGTACTAATAGTTCACATGATCTTGATTTTATCCCTCTGTTGATGCTGCTTAGGGCTGTATTGCCTTTTTTCACAGCTGCTTGCTCCTATTTAAGTGGTTGTCCGCTAGGACTCCTAGATCTCTGTCACAGTTATTGCTGTTGAGCTAGGTACAACCTATTCTATCCCTGTGCATTTGTTTTTTTCTTGCCTAATTGTAAACCTTACTTTGTCACCACTGTTGTGTCCTGAGCCTGCAAAGGCAGGCTTGGGACATTGCAATGGTCCCGGGCAGTTGCAAGCTGCCCGGGACCAGACTGAGTGGCGCCGGCTTCACGCGCATGAGAAGAATGTTACCTTTTTGCCCGGGGATTCTATTAAAGGAGACAGAGAGGCTTGCGAGCCTCAGAGCTGTGTCAGAGAGAGAACTACTGAAATAAAAGGCTGTTGGAATTACAGAATGTGTTCTATTCATTCGCCGTTGACTCAAGGACTTAACACTGGCGACGAAGGTGGGATAGCTTACAAGAACAAAGAAGGAGAATTGTAAGCTTACCCTAAGCTTACCCTAAGAGTCCTGGAGAGAGGAAGATGCGTTAAACTCAGCACCTGGCATCGCTGGAGGTAAGCTGGCTGATAGACCCCTTCCTAGAGTAAGAAGCAAGAATGGCGAAGATAGGGAGACTGTCTGAATTCAATGTTACTCACCCAGAAAGATGGGAGTCTTATGTTGCTAGAGTAGAAAATTACTTTAGAGTAAATCAAGTAAGAGAAGATGGCTTGAATGCCGCTACTTTGCTGTGTGTCTGTGGTCAAGATGCATTTGAAATTGCAGAAAATTTGGCAGCCCTGCTCCTCTTGAATCTGTCACTTATACAGATTTAAAGAAGTTATTGAAGGAACATTTTCAGCCCAAGTTGTCTGTTATTGCGTGGAGACACACGTTTGAACAGAGGGATCAAAGAGCTGGTGAATCAGCTAAAGAATACATTGCAGCCTTGAGAAGAGCAGCTAAGCCTTGTGATTTTAAAGATTTAGAAGAAAGGTTGAGAGACCGATTTGTATGTGGGCTTCGGAACAGAGACTTGCAACAGAGACTCTTTGCAAAAGAGGACATTTCCTTCCAAGAAGCTTTGAGAGAGGTCACTGCAGAAGAGGCAGCAGGTGGGGCAGTCAAGAATATGAGGCCTATCAGGAACAACCCAGAAGCCATCTCCATGCACCATGAGGGAGTCCAGGAGAGCTCGGAGGAAGATCCTGAAGATGAGGTGGATCATCTCTACCCATCCAGAGAAAGGAAGCAGAAGGAAGGCAAAGAAAAGTCTTCAGCTGTACCCAAGTGCTTCGGGTGTGGAGGTCGCCACAAGAGGACCGACTGCAGGTTCCATTCTGCAATCTGTAGAGCATGTGGAAAACAAGGCCACATAGCAGCTGTGTGTCTGGGCCATCAGAAAGTACAACCCCGAGAAGAATTGTGCCTGAAAGGTACCAGGGTCCCCAGCCAAAACAGGGTGGGTTTCTGTGCATCACGTAGAAGCATTTATAGGACAAGCACACACAGGCCACTTAAAAAGAAATTGTCACTTAAGGTGAAGTTGCAAGGAGTTCCATTGGTTATGGAACTGGACACTGGGTCTGCCCTTTCAATCATTTCTATCCACACTTTCAGAAAGATTTGCTCTAGCAGTGGGTTCCAGGCCAAGGTTAGGCCATCCAATATAGTCTTAACAGACTTTCAAAATTCCAAGGTGTGTGTTAAGGGGGAGGCCACCCTTAAAGTACAATACATGGATTTTGAAGGTCCATTAGATGTATTGGTAGTTGGGGGTGAGCGCACGAATCTCATTGGACTCAATTGGTTTGAGGCCTTGGGAATACAAGTTACAGGGCTACACAATTTGCAAACGTTAGGTCTACAAGAAGAACGAGGGGGGGGGCATGATAGCAGTGTTCCAATATCTCAGGGCTGCCACAAAGAAGAGGGAGTCAAGCTATTCTCCAAAGTGCCTGAAGGCAGGACAAGAAGCAATGGATAGAAACTAATCAAGGAGAGAAGCAACCTAGAACTAAGGAGAAACTTCCTGACAGTTAGAACAATTAATCAGTGGAATAACCTGCCTTCAGAAGCAGTGACTGCTTCAACAATGGAAGTTTTTAAGAAGAAACTGGACAGCCATATGTCCGAAATAGGGTTACCTGCCTGAGCAGGGGGTTGGACTTGATGACCTCCAAGGTCCCTTCCAACTTTATTTTATTATTATTATTATTGTTGTTGTTGTTGTTGTTATTGTTATTTAGTATTTACAATGACTATAACTGGGGAATATAAGTATAGCTTTCCATAGAATATAATATCACAAAATATTTTTCTAATTACTACAACTTTAATAAAAAAATTTAATTGCATTTATCTGTGTCAATGTACACACTATAGGGAATACTGAAGGTCAACAGTGTATGCAAGACTCACATCTGCTTCCTGAAAATAGATTTTATAACAAAGAGTATAGGAAAAAATGTATTCAATAGTAGTGGTTGCATAGAAATTACATTACCACCCAGTGAAAGGTGGATGAACACCTTTTTGATGTTTTAGTTCAATTAGTGGCTTTTTTGTTTGCAAATATCTGCCCCATTTAAATTATCCCTTCCTCATAATTTGAAATAATGTCTTCCAGAAAAACGTATCTTATGTAAATATTCTACTTCTCTGCTTACCTCTGAGACTTGCTTTCTTTTCTCACAGCTTTCCATCTCTTAGGGCACACCTGCACTGCTAGGTTCCTTGCTACAAATAAAGTCCAACAACAGAGTCTGAAGGCAGAAACAGACATTATCTTCTACTAACCTTCATCCCACCTGAAAGGTGACCTCCAGCCATGTTTTCCTGCTCTTGAGTTGAAAGCTTTTTCTCCTTTGTGCTGGTCTTAACCTTGCTGTCTTGTCTGTTTGCTGCACTTTGCTTTCTTCCAGGCAAAGCCCTGAATTTTGAATGACACCCGTGCAGAGGCAGGCATGCCCCGTCACTTAATTTTCTCAGCTTTTGCTCCAGAATGTCTGCATTATAAAAGCTGTTTCTGACGGCACAGTAATTATAACATTTTTTTTTTGACATGCAGAAAGTCTTTGCTTCAAAACACAGCAAAACCAGGGCTATTTTTCATAATCAGTTTTCTTTCTATGAGCTACCTACAGAATTTTTCTGCTGGACTTTTTTTTTTAAGTAGTCATTTTATTGCAGCCAACCCTGTGGATGCCGCTGCCACTTTGAGTAATCTTTAACATCCAGCCCCTTTCTTTATCTTGTTTATTGACTGTGTATTGTAAGCTCCCTGTACACTTTCTTTTATGATATAAAAATTCTATTCATGCTAGAGAAATGTTAGCAGCAAATCTCTGTACAACCTAACAAACAGCAAGTTGCTACAGTAGGTTGCTATACAACATAACAAACAGTTTTTGCTAGAATTCTATAAAATTGGTTCTTTCCTCATTTGAAATGAATAAGGGTTAAATGTTTAAACGATGCTACATATTTTCTCTCTCTTCCATCACTGCTAACAAATTCATCTTTATCTCCAAAGGAATAGCTTTCTTTTGCTGATAGTTCTTCACATTTTATTGTTTGACGTGTTGTAATTTTATTTGCTGCTGCTGGACCATTGGAACAACATGGAACATGGGAAAGTCAAGAGATAAGCAAGGGTTTCAGTCCTTGCTGTATTTGAGAAATGTTTTGACCACAGTTGACATGGCACTAGCAACAGCTTTGCTAAACATGACAATAATTCACCTGTCACAGAAGAAAGATCACAAAGCATTTAATGCAAGCAGAGGTGCCCATGATTGATATGCTGCCCGGACTGCAGCCAAGAAGCACAATGAATAGGCAAACAATGCTAAGTTTGCTAACTCCAATAGGAAGAATGTCTCCTGCTACTCTGAATGAGGTAATTTGACTATCTGTTAAGCACACATTGGTGAACATTGCCTCTTTACATACCCTGGCAGAATTTAATGTGGCCTTTAGAATAACAGAACTATCCCTCTTGTCATAGCAAGACAACTGGCATATTTGAAAACATTAATTATTTGAATGTTTGTACTTGCTTCTTATTTATTGTCAATTGCTTTTCACATCAGTTTCTTCGCAAACATAAATAACAAAAAGAAAACCAGGAAAATTATTACCAAGCTACTCAAGAACATAATATCAAGCTGGTGAAAACACACACAGAGGGGGGAGGGGAGACTGCATAACTAATTATCAGTTTGCTTCAAGGCTTAGTTTAAAATGCTGATTTTGACCTTCAAAGCTATTGAGAGGTGTGGGATCAGAACATTTCCAAGTATCTTCTACTGCTTCTTGAGATCTCTGTGCCACTATAAAAGCTGTTCTTTAGGTCTCACCATTAATTGATATAAGGTAGAAAGATAGCTAGGAAAATAAAGTTTTTCTATGCTGCCTAATAATCTCCCCAAAGAACTGAGACTGTGGCTGCAGAGTACCCAGATATGTATCTTTCTGCGGCATCAAAAAGACTAATGCTGAGAATTCCATAATTGAACATAACCATTTGTTCAAACTGTGTTCTGTGGTTTCTTGGTAGGCTATCAAATAAGTTCTTCAGAAAATATCTAACAGAGAACAAACCCCCTCTTTAAAAAGTATCTACCACCATTAGTTTGGTGTAAGAAACATTTTCTGGAAAGAGTTACATACAATAAATATGGATTGAAAGGAAAATTACTCAGCCTAAAATAAGCATAGGACTGCCCTGCCCTTCAGATTATAAACTGCATGTTAACTATGTTTCGTATCTATGATAGAATAACAAAATTAAGTCTACCACACTTGGTATTCAAATAAGATGGCAGCCAAGAATTAACTAGTTTATATCTTGCTGCCATTTTACAGTACTTTGGACTTTTGCAGCCCATATATGATAGCTCTAAATAATAAGATGAAGCATTTTTAAAATAATCTCTACTATATTAGCACAATTAAATAAATCAGTTTGTAAGTAACACAATAGGAAAACTCAGTAAAAAATATCAAGGAAAATACAAGTTTTGTTTAATAGGTTAAGAGCCAAGTTCAACAATTATTTGATTCTCATTGTCAATGATATTTTTAAGAGGAAAAAGAAAAAATAATTTTAATTTGGATCCAGCCTATACTGACTCTATCCCTTTTCCTGTCTCATCCCTCATTGCCTGTTGGATATTTCATACTGGAACTCTTAAAATTATGGGAGGAAAATAACTGCTTGGAAGATGAGATCGGAAAATTATGATTGATTAACCAAATTCCATGGCAGATGCCTACAATTTTGCAAATCATTATTTAAAGCTATAACTAAATGGTGCTACTTAGACACTTTCTTTATAAGGTTGAGAATTTGTTGCCCTTTCTGTCCATTTGATTTCAATAATTTACAAACTCTTTGAACCAGAGACAATGTGTTCTTGTTTGTCTGATAAGAACAAGGGCTTGAAATAAATAACATTAATGTCCTTGCTTATTACATCTTAACAAAAGTGATTAATTCTACTTCCAAAAGTCAACAGCCATTATGTAAATAATCAATCTAGATGGTTTTATTGATAAAAATAGACCAAACACCAGCCAACATGTCTCTCAAATAACACTTTTCCTCATTGACACTGCTGATATATATCAATTATTTAAACTATCCTCTCCTGCAAAAACATAGAAATACATTTTTTCTGTTCTACAGCTAACAATGGGACAGTTCAAACATCTTGAAAATTAATTTGAGTTTTATGAATCTTTTAAAGCCATTTTACCTTCTGTATGAAATACTAATATATGGTATAGGTTTCAAGACTTGTATGTTGCTTCTCACACTGTGTGTATTATGCAGGACAACTTTTCCATATTTTGGAGGACATTAACATTGTCATTTAATACTAATACTAATACTAAAAGTTGAAAGATACCTTGGAGGTCACCTAGTCCAACCCCCTGCTCAGGCAGGAAACCCTATACCATTACAGACAAATGGCTGTCCAGTCTCTTTAAAACCTTCCAGTGTTGGAGCATTCACTGCTTCTGGAGGCAGGTTGTTCCACTGGTTAATTGTTCTAACTGTCAGGATGTTTCTCCTTAGTTCTGGGTTGCTTCTCTCCTTGATTAGTTTCCATCCATTGCTTCTTGTCCTGCCTTCAGGCACTTTGGAGAATAGCTTGACTCCCTCTTCTTTGTAGCAACCCCTGAGATATTGGAATACTGCTATCATGTCACCCCCTAGTCCTTCTTTTCATTAAACTAGACATACCCAATTCCAACAAACGTTCCTTATATGTTTTATCCTCCAGTCCCCTAATCATCTTTGTTGCTCTTCTCTGTACTCTTTCTAGAGTCTCAACATCTTTTTTACATCGTGGTGACCAAAACTGGATGCAGTATTCCAAGCGTGGCCTTACCAAGGCATTGTAAAGTGGTATTAATTCTTCACGTGATTCTATCCCTCTGTTAATGCAGCCTAGCACTGGGTTGGCTTTTTTGGCAGTTACAGCACACTGCTGGCTCATATTTAAGTGATTGTCCACTAGTGATTGTATCTTGTACTTTTTTAAAAATCAGAATTACATGCAATTGACTAAGAGAATTCATTGTTCTATGAATGTGTTGACCATCTTATTTTTCATACTGTAAATATACCAGTTTCTAGTATAACATGGATTGAACATGTCAAGGTTTTTTTTTTACTCCCTTTTGAACTCACCTATCCCTAGGTCATCTATAGAAGACTTTTGTTCAGTACGTCCATCTGAGGTGGAAACAATGACTAGTATTTGTTTGTTTGTATCCTACTTATTTGTCCATTCCAACATGTAAGTCTTACAATAATAAAAGGATATAACAAAATTAATGCTATTAAAATAATACATCTAAAACTCAGTGAAAGATGTGTTTTTAAGATCTTCCTAAATATTGAAAGAGTGGGAGCCCAAAACATTCTCAAGTGAATTCCATAGGCTGAAGGACCTTTTCTGATGATGTGATAGTTGAGGCTCTAGCATTGGGAGCATCTTCAGAAGGCCTCTCCTGCTGTTCAAACTAATTATAAGATATACAGTATAGCAGGAGTTATATATTTCTCCCCTCGGCCAATTTCTTTTTTTTTTAATTACATACTCTATAGGATCGGAGAGAGCAATGTTTTGGTGACCAAGAGCCATGCCTAACATTTTGTGGGAGAGTAAGGTCCTCAGTAGTTAGGGTGATGGTATATTCTGTCTAAGACCATAATCATATTCATGTGGGACAATATTTTTTTTCCATTTAATTGAGAACCTGGGGAAAATTGTATTGTTGTTAAGTCTATTTTAACTGTAAACTCAATGTATACCAACATTTTATTTATTTATTTATTTAATTTTTATTTTTAACCAACAAGACAAAACAGAACAAAGAAAAACATAACACACATACACACACAATATATACTCCTCCTGTTTTTTTACAGCAATTACGTAACGGTAATCTAATATTTACATTTCCCCCTTATTCTTCTTTAGAATATTTGTCCTTATAGGCCCATTATTTCTTATTTACATTTTTTTTCTTCATGTTCTACTTCTTACTAAGAATAATTCATATTATTATTATTATACATTATTATACACATATTTTCACTTTTGATCTTTCCATATTTATTCTCCTCTATTATTTCTAGTCTCCAACCAGACATACGCCTTGTTCCATACTATATAATACTCTGTGTGTGCCTTTTCTTTTATCTCTTTTGTTAATTTGTCCATCTCAGCATAGTCCAGAATTTTTCTTATTACTTCTTCCTCTGATGGTATATTCTCATTTTTCCAGCACTGTGCATATGCTATTCTTGCCGCCATTATTATATGTAAAATTAAGTACCATATTTCTTTACTATATTTTCTATTTAAAATACCCAACAAAAAGATCTCTGATTTCCAGTCTACAGGCTGGTCTATTATTTCTTGGATCCATTTTCTTATTGTAGACCAGTATTTTTTTGCAACTGGGCATGTCCACCATAGATGATAATATGTTCCATGTACTTTTTTACATTTGCAGCATGTTGGAGAATTATTCTGGAACATCTTGGCAAGCTTTGCTGGTGGAAGATGACATCTGTAAAACATTTTCAACTGGTTTTCCTTGAATGCCGCCGACATAGTCAATTTTATATTTATTTCCCATATTTTTTTCCCATTTCTCCAATTCTATATTATATCCGAAATTTTTTGCCCATCTAATCATTGTGT